TAGAGGATGACTCAACTTTTTCCCTTCCCTCTTTTTTGCTTCTTCCTTTCCTTTATGAAGAAGATGGCTAGGGCTCCATGACCATCCTGGAACAAGTAGTGACCTTGAGGACAGAGGCCACAGCTGAAGATGAAAGAGACAGAGGGAGCCTGGTACCCTGAGAGCTTCATAAAGCATAATACCAAGCTGGAACTCCATGCTTATTTCAATTCACGGTTGTTTTTTTAATCTTGTTTAAGTTACTGTATATTTTCTATTATACGCATCCAAACATAATACTGACGGATATATAAATTGTGTTCTTTTTAAATCTTTTGATCACACCCAGATCTCTCCATCTCCACTACCACTCCCTTAGTTCAATCCACCAACACTGCTTGTTTCAGTTACTGAAACAGAATATTAACTGGTCACCCTGCTTCTAGTCTTCTTTCAAACTAATCCATTGTCCATTTCTAGAAATCAAACCAACCACCTTTTAGTGAATGGGACCACACCCAGACAACTAAGCCACACTGGTTAGGGTGTAAATTCCTTTGACTCTATCTCCCACCAAACCATAGGCTCATTGAGAGCATAATGTCTTCATCCCTCTAGTGCTTGACATATATTTGGCGTTCTATTAATGTGAAATACATTGTGATGGTGCTATGAATTCTCCTCACTATCCAAAAGATGCAGAATAATCCATATCGTTAGAATCTAAATGTTTGTCTCCAATACATATGATTTTCCATAGTAACAATGCCTAAACACAAGGCTGTAAGGGATGACTGACCTGTTAAGGGCAAACACTAGCCAGGAGGAGACTTAAGCAAACTGTATTTTTATTAGATTTGTTTTTGGGCTTGATTCTCGTTATAAAGTTCAATAGATTTCAACAGTTTGCCTCAATCCATTTTTGAGAATAAGCCCTGCTATTTTTTAGTGCCTGATTTTTCAAAACACAAGGTGTACATATATCACTATAGCAGAAATCCCTATGTTCATCTCAGCAGCAAAGTCAATTTTTAACTAAATTTCTTTCAAAACTAAAACTATCCTATTATTGTTGTTATTTGTTTTGTGTTTTTGGAATGAAATTCAAGCAGTATTTTCATACACACACACATTCACACATACACACCCAATCACATGCACATATACGTTAAATAAATATCAACGCATGCATCACTCCAAAAAAAGACATATGGTACATTTCATCCTTTTAAAATGGACTTTGGGAAGTATAAATAAACTGAATGTTGACAAATACACAAGGAACTATCACTGTCAAGCCCATCTCTATAAATTTGGCCACTGCTGACTTACTCTATAGAAATACAGCATTCCCTTTGAACATTTTTGCCAAGTGCAGACCTCCTCCACAATACTAGCTAATACAAGAGGGGGAGTAAAATACTACCCAAAATCCACATGAAAAGCTACATGGTTGAAGCTTAGATGCATTCAGTCCTTCTTATGAATAACAGTGTAGTTCTCTGAAAAGGGATTCTCTCACTTCCTTCCAGAAGGAACCGATGGCCATCCCTACACATGGTGTTAACACCACTAAGAGACCATGAGCCAGGGAAGAAAAGAGAACAAAGAGTAACACCACAAGGATAACAAAGGTCACCCGATGTACTTTATGTATACTTAATTCAGTCTTCTGTTTTCTGATTAGGTCAACAAGTATCTGAATGTGCAAGGAGTTAGGGACACAGAGATGGACAAGACAAGAGAGAACTGGGTTCCTGATACCCAAACATCTTAACAAACGATTGGCTAGAATCCTGGTACTGCAAGCTCTAATGCTTCCTGAAGCCAGATAAGCAATGTGAAAGTGAAGGAGAATGGGCACATGAGAATAGGGAGTGTGGGACAAGGACAAACTAGAGATCACATGATCCCTCTAACGTTATTTAAATCCATTTTTCTTATGTACCTTTGAGGTAAAGCAACATACATAGACTGGCTCATAGACTACCACTTTATGACCCTTGTGTTTAGCAGAATGTAGACCAGAGCACCTGGATAAGAGATTTCCTTTTGTATCCAGACAGATACCTGGTGCTAACATCAACCAATATTTAAGATCATTTTTCTGTAAGTGATGGCTATAATACAACAAATGATGAGAATTCTGCTATAGGAAAAACTATAGAACAACTACCAAGATCCAAAATTTTGAAAACTGAGCTTGAGTCCATATTTCTTTATTATGATTCAAGAGTGCTATTATATAATCAAAGTTTTCATTTTCTGACCTAAAAATCTCTATTTGGGGAAGGTTTACGCTTTACAATTTAGTTATCTGAAATACCAAAGAGAAGATGAAGAATCTCTATAACTCAAATCACATCTTCACCAGAAAGGGTCAAGAATAATGTCAGTAGATACACAAGAGAAATATACCAATTACAAATGTAATAGTTCATAGCTCATTCAAAATGTGGTTTCTTGGTTAGAGGTTCCAAGAAGCCATTTTATAAATACTCAAATATATATTTAATGTAATACCAATATTGAGCATTAGATCAGTTTCCTTCTCTTTTTTCTTTCAAGGTCAATCAAAGTACTAAATCCAAGTGTTATGCTTAAGTAAAACATCCTATTTTTTACACACAGACAACAAATTTACAGTTAAAGCTACATATGTTAATGTACAATTAGCATTTGTTTTTTATAGCTCAATTTGGACAACAATTTAAATTCTTTAGTATATGTTAACTGGTGTAGACATAAGCTATAAAAATGTTGACATTGGTTATAGTCTCATAATTCAATTTAGCCTTTTAAGTAATGTCTATACAAAAAAAAAAAACAGCCACAGGAAAATTATTTTATTTCTAGTACAATTACCTACTATCACAGAAGTAATTATTATTATTGTCCTGTTTATTGAATTCCAATAAGAACTCTTGAGGTGCTAAGATAGTTCCAAGGACACTGTGAAAACTCCCCTTTTAATGGACTCATCTGGCAACTATAATTACCAATGTTAAGGAGGGCGGTTTCAGATGAACATTAAACAAGAAATTATCCCCTGAAGATTCCTAAGTTCCAAACTTTACATGGGTAAGTACTGACAGTTCCTAATATGTTCTCTTAACGCCTTCATAGTGTAACTTTTTACTCAGGGATAGTCAGCAGCTCTTAGATGACTCAACAACAATGGGTAGAAAAATCCACACTCCCAACGAGATGAGTTTTGCCCCTGAACAATATTTACTTTTGGCCAATGCACAAATAGGGCTAGTTATATTTCCAAAAGCTCAATCAAACCTCCTACATTACTGTGCTTCAACTTTTGATTTCAGAAATTGCTCTGCCATCTTGACACAAACCAGAGTGCTTCCTGGGTGACCCAGTGGCCATGATCTGACAGAGTTTTTCACCAAGTTTCTACCCAACTTCATCTGCCTTATTGGCATAGAGATGAGGAAGGCAGGAGAGAAGAGGTCAACTTGCATCGTTCTCTCAATGAGTGCTAAGATCCATCCCACCTGAGCCCACCTACTAGGGGTCCCTGAGTAGGCCTCACCAAGTCCAGAATCATTAAAAGACCCTAAGGGCACAGGAAGCCACGATGCTAACTTGCTTGTTCTCCATTCTTCTCACACCAGCCAGCAAATCCACCATCTTGAAAAAACGTCAGCTGTTCAGAGGGCCAGAGAAAAGAAGCTCATGGCAGGTGAATCACCCCTGCATTCTCTTCTGGGTGAATCACCCCTGCCTTCTCTTCCCCACGAGGCCAATACTACCTTTTCAGGCTTTTACCAAAAACTTTTTACCCAAAGCCTCGAGAACCAGGGTGAGTGTTAATGGAGTCAAGGTCCACGCTGACTGATGAGGCTTGTTTCTTGGAGGACCAACAGGCCTTCGGGCTGCAGATGGCTGGTCTCTTAGCTTCCCCATCCTGACCCTTCTCTTGAGGACCACCAATACCTCTTCGGGGGCACTCTCCCCAAAGAGAAGTTGTTCTTATTTTATCCACTCATGGGGAATCCAAACGCATGAACAGTTGTGTCCAGAGCTAATAGCTAAAACCTAGCTTCCCATAGGCCATGGCTGTTGAGTGTTTCAAAGATGACAGATGAATGTCTATCTTGACCACTTTTTGAGACGCTTTCCGAAGTATCAGGTGCAGATGGTGTGTACCTGGAGGCAGGTATCTGCCGAAGACGACAGAGTGCTGGGAGCCCTGCTCCCATCCCATGTCTTCTGGCCACGTGTTACCACCACCCACCTTCCACGTTCTCTTCCTTCCACCACTGAGGGCCATCTGCAGCGCCCCCTTCCGCCCGCAGCGAGCACCACACCTGCAAGGACCGCCCCCCACGCCACCTCGGCCTGGAGGGCTCCTCGCCCTGTCTGGGGCAGCAGGTGGGGGGAGGGGGCGCCGGCCTGGGGGCCCCTGAGAGCTGTTTGACGGGGCGTCTCCCGAACCCCCACACCCTGCGGCCGCCTCCCCGCACCACCCCCACCAGAACCGCGCTTCGCCCGGGCTGGGCTCCGCTCTCACCGCCCCCTCTTCTCACAGCCCCCCCACCCCCGCCTCTCCTGCGCCCCCGGCCCACCCCGGGCCCCGCACCTCCCGCCCCGCACCCGCCCCGGCCGCGCCGCGGGGGCCCCCCGCATTCCCGGCGGGTCCGGCTCCGACTTTTACCTGTACTTTCTGTACTCGAGGGCGAGAAACACCTCCCCGGGACCGCTACCTCCCCCGCCCCGGCTCCGCCCGGCTTCCTCCTTCCCCTCCCAGGCCGCAAAGTAGATGGAGTAAGAGAGTGTGTGTGCGCGAGAGAGAGAGAGAAAGAGAAAGAGGGAGCGGGCGCGGGCGCCGCGGGAGGGCGGGCGGGCGGGAGGCGCGCCCCGGCCCCCGCCGCCCTCCGGCCGCCTCAGCCGCCGCCGCCGCCGCGAGCCCCGCAACTCCGGCCCCGGCCCCGGCCCGGGCCCCGCCGCCCGCCGCCCGCCGCCGCCCGCGGGCTGGGGCCGCCCGAGCCCCCGCGTCCCCGTACCTCGTAAAGGTCCCCAGAAGCCATGCCAGGCTGCGGAACTTGGCTCGCCGGGGGTGCGCGTCGGCTCCTCGCTCGCGCCCTCCTCCGTGCGTGTGCGCGGGGGGCGAGGGTGCGCGTGTGTGCGCGCGGGTGTGTGTGTGTGTGAGTGTGTGTGTGACTGTGTGTGTGAGTGTCTGTGTGTGTGTGTGTGTGCGCGCGCGGCGTGTGGAGTAAACTGTGTTTTTGCAGAATGACAGGCTTGGGGGCTGCCTATGCGCAGAATCAGAGCGGGCGGCGGCGGCGGAGCTGGCGTAACCGGCAGCGGCGGCGGCGGCGGCGGCGGCGGCACCAGCGCGGGCAGCAGCGACGGCCGCGCAGCGCGCCCGGGTGGCACCGACGCGGCCCCGAGCGCCGCGGCCCCCGCGACCCGGCAGCGGCGGCGGCGGTGGCTGCAGCGGGCAAACGGCTCGCCCCGGCGCCGCCTGCCTGCAGGAAGCCGCCCCGCGCCCGCCGCCGGCCCGGACGCTGCTGCCACTGGGCGAGTCCCCGCCCCCCGGGAGCCCGGCCCGGCCCCCGGGGCGGGAGGGGGGCGGGGGCGACGGCGGGGCCGCGCCCCGGGGGACCGGTCCGGTGTGGGGGAACGCTGGGGCCCGCCCTGCCGCCCCGGGCCGGCTCCCGAGGTCGTCCGGTGCAGCCCCCCGGGGGGGACGGGCCAGGTGCTCGCCCTTCGAACCTGGGCCCAGGCTGCGAAGGGGCGGCCGGAAGACAGGTAGAGGACTATGGTGACAGGTCGCAGGACTGGGGCCCCACGTGGAGCTCAGAGAGTCCCAGGTCCTCACCTCTTCCCGCCACCCCAGAAAGGGAGTGGGCGCCGCCCTAGAAGACCTGGCTCCTAGGGGCTGCATCCCCGGACGGGCGCTGCATAACCCCTTCCTCCAGGCTGGTTTGGAAGACGTGGAGGCCACAGGGAAGAGGGGGAAAATGGCTCAATCCAGAGACGCCAGGGAGAGCTAGGGCAGCGTCCCATAAACCCTAGAAACTCTTTAGAGCCTGGCTTGCCTTCCCTCAACCCCCACCACCACTACCACCACCTCAAAATTCATTCACTCATCCATTATTCAACAAATGGTTTCCAAAGTCTACCCAAACTGCATGCACAGTGTTCCTGGAAAGACACAACTGGGACCCTGCCCACAAGGGACTTGTAATCCAAAAGGAGAGAGTAACCACAGCACGTGAGGATTCAATCCTTCAACAAAAAAGGAGTTCCTACTATGTGCCAGCGCCAGTGCAGGAGGGATTGGAGAAGCTTCCTAAAATCCAAATTCCTAAAGTCACCTACTAATATCATGGATATCTGGTCACCCTTCTATTTAAAGTCTTCTCTCTATAAAAGATAGAGTTAACTCAAAATCTGAGAAGGCAAGGTGTTCTGAAATGGGAGGAACGATCCTCCTCATCGCAGTCCCCAAAATGCCCCGCTGGTTCGTTTCTCCAGAGTTGGATGTTACTCACATCATCCCTCCATTATTTCCCATTTGTGACACCTTAAACAAATCATTTTATCCTTCTGAACCTTGATTCCCTCATGTCTAGATTGGGATAGTGTAAACACCTAAAATGGTGTGAAAACTAGAGGATCTATGTATATATGAAATGAACTATACCAGCAGATCGCGATAAAGATTATTTGCGTTTGGATCTAGTCTCTGAACTGACCTTGTGAAGAGCAAGATGGCAAAGGGGTTTGTCTGACAAAGGGAAAGGGCTTAATTCAGTCCAGAGGATGTCAAACTTAAATTTTCAATTTAAACAAAATTTTTTAAAAAAATTCCACCAAATCTGGTCCACAAAGGTTTCATGCCTGGCTCATTCTAGGATGCAGGCGTTTGTGTATGCTCTTCCCTCTGCCTAACATGTCTCTGTACATGGGATCCATCTGGAAAACTCTGCATCTTCTGGCACGGGCTTATCTTTGTGTCACAAGCATCTATCACTGTTTCTGCCAGAGAGTCGATACATATTAAATATTGGTCCAACTATTCCAACACAACAAAGTGTATACCAATTTCTAGTTTCAAATCCCATATTAAAATGGTGAGAGGGGGAACAAAGGTGAGGTGTGGGAAACTATAAATAACAAAGTGTATTTGTTTTAGAGACTGTGGAAATTATTACAGCAGTTCTCTTTCTCACACTATTTTCCCAATGGTCATGGTTTTAAATAATAACATTAATGATCAGTACTCTAACTGTTGGTTGTAAAACAAATGTTAATGATCCTTCACTTGTACTTGGGAATGCATGCACCACCATAGCATGAGGATATCATTTGGAAGTAGAAGACAAGAAAGAAACAGAGTTTGGAAATAATATGCTCAGTCAAATTTGAATATATAATCAATAGTTTTACAAAAACACCAAAGGCTTGACTTGTGCTGGCCAAATACTCCCTAGAAATATGAGCACAGTTTGGAAAACTCTAGTCTAGACAACAGTTGTTTACAGGAGTGTTCACTGTGGATTGGCATGCTAAGGAAGTGTTTTATGGAATAATGGATTGAAATGGATCTTGAAGACTCATAGAAAAGGAGTGTTTTAACTTGAGGGAAGAGATAAGGGTAAGCCGTGCTGCCATGGGAGGGTATGAGAAGATTGAAAAGTTCATTTGTGGATGTCACCGATCACTGTATAGCAAATGCAGATCAGTTCATGAAGAGTTGTAAACACCAAGTTAAGAAATTTTTCATGTGTCACCAGTGGAAAGACGGAAGACTTTTTACTTTATCAAAAGCATGTGGCCATCAAAAGTGTGCATTAGAAAACAAATTCTAGAAGAAATAAGAGAAATGGACTACAGAGGGTGAGATTAGAGGCAAAGAGACCAATTGCAGTGGTCCACGGTGATGGCCCTAGAAATGAAGAAGAAAAACTGGATTGACAAGATGTCCAGAGGAAGAGTCTGCTGGCCACCCACTTTCATTATAGTTACTCCACCCACTTCCATAAAGCTTTTGATCCAAATCAACAGGACTCAGTGACTAACAGGATGTCTGTGTGTATGCTGAGAACTGGGGGAAGGGGTGAGCAACTAAGGAAAGAAGGGATAGAGAAATGACTAAGGTTTTAAACGAAATGACGGAGCTACTCATCCATCATGACACTGTTTTATTTTGCTTACCCTCAGACCATCACTGGCTTCCAGAAAAGCCAGGTGCTTCCTGAAGGATGAAGGGAAGGGTCTTCATCCTCTGTGGGAAGTTCTCCAGGTTCTTCTGATGACATAGGACCATTGTGGCTCATGGAGAATGGAAGGAAGGTTCCTATAAACGTTCCACAAACTAGAATAAATTCTTCATATACTCATAACCCAAGAGCAAGCAATAGAAACTCAACTCAAACTAATTTAAAACAAAGAGAGAATGTATTGACTCACAGAGACGAGAGAGGATGAAATTGCTCTCAGGGTTGGCTGTATTCAAGTTCTCAGAGGTTATAAAGTGGCCTCTCTCACTCTCTGCCTTTTTCTGCATGCTGACATCTTTCCTGTTGAAGACCAGCTTCCTCCATGCATCTCACATCATCTGGCTTAGAGACCTCATGCAGTATTTCTAAATCTCAGAGAAGGGCTCTTTTTGGCTGATGTACCTCATGTCACTGGTTTTGAACCAATTACTGTAGTCAGTCCCTGATAGTATTCTATGATTATCTAACTTGTCATACTCCCACCTGTAGGACAGGAAGAGCACAGTGACTGGCAGCTTTACCAGAATTACATCATTGCAAGTGGAGATGAGCACAAGCCCAAAGGAATGGGTGAAGGGATACTGGTAAGATAAGCGTCCACTCTATGCTGGATCAAGCCCGGGCAGATAGGAAACTTAGAAGCAAGGGCAGTGGCTGCCTAGAACATAACCTTGCAATGGAGCTAGCTTAATAGCCAAGGAAAGGCTGTATCCTTTGCCCTGACGGTGGCATAAGAATGTGACAATAATTGCCGAAACCAGTTTGGCTCAACGGATAGTCGGCTTGGGGACTGAAGTGTCCCTGGTTCGATTCCGGTTGGGGGCATGTACCTTGGTTGCGGGCATATCCCCAGTGGGGGGGGGGGGGGGTGCAAGAGGCAGCTGATCGATGACTCTCTCTCATCGATGTTTCTAACTCTCTATCTCTCTCCCTTCCTCTCTGTACAAAATCGATAAAATATTTTTTTTTTAAAAGAATGTGACAATATTCTCCTTTTAGTATTACTTGAGACATGATCTTGACCTCCTGGATAATGTGGTGGTTGAATATATGGGCTCTTGAGTCAGATTGCCTGAGCCAATTCTTGCATTATCATTGCGATATGCTATGGGGTTCTTGGCTTCACCTATCTTTTCATTTCCTTTTTTTCTTTTTTTTTCTTTTTGCTGCACCATAAACTATCTGTAAAACTTCATGACTTAAAACAAAAGTTATTTCTTATCTCACAGCTTCTGTGGGTTAGGGAATCAGGAGCAGCTTCACTGAGTGGTTCTGGATTACAGTTTTTTATGGGATTTCAGGCAAAATGTTGGCTAGGACTGCAGTTATTTGAAGAGTCAACGGAGATAAGAGGATCTACCTCCAAGATAGCGCCCACACATGGCTGTTAGCAGGAGGCTGCAGCACCTAGCCATGTGAGCCTCTTTACAGGGTTACTTGAGTGTCCTCTTGCCGTTCTCATCTCGTCCCTCTATAAAGCAAAACTGTCAAAGCTTTAGCTCTGTAATTAATCTGATGTCTTAGTCCATACGAAGAAGGCTATTTGATACAGAGGTGATCTGCAGCATGTCAGACTGAATGGCTGGAGATGTCATCTGATCCACATCCCTCATTTTAAAAAAGAGAAAACTAAAACTCCGATTGGGGGAACCAGGAGAGAGAGAGAGAGCAAGGAGGAGGTCACAACGCCTTTGACCATCTAAGCTTGGCAGCCTACCACTGTCACTTCTACTATATTCTATTCTTTAGAACTGAGCCTCTAAGCCTACACCACACTCAAAGAGAAATAAATTAGTTCCCACCTTTTAAAGGGAGGGCTTTCAAAGAAATTGTGGACATATTCTACTTTTTAATATATTTTTATTGATTTCAGAAGGGAAGGGAGAGGGAGAGAGAGAGAGAAATATCAATGATGAGAGAGAATCATTGATTAGCTGCTTCCTACACGAACCCATAACCTGAGCATGTGCCCTAACCTGAATCAAACCATGACCTACTGGTTCATAGGTCGACACTCAGCCACTGAGTCATACCAGACAGGCGATTGTGGACATATTTTAAAACCATCACACTACATCTGTAAATTGAGATGATAGATAGCCCATAGCATCATTTATGAATTAGATAGGATAATCCATGCAAGGCAACAACTGCCACCAATAACAGCTGAATAATGGCATCTGATTTAATTATTGTAACAGCTACTATTACCAGTTTCAAACTTGATATGTGTCACTAATGACCTTGAATAGTTAAGATTAATA